AACCCCAGAGTTAGCTTTGCCGTTTTCCACTACATAGTAAAGTTATATATGATGTCACTAGACTCATATAACATAACTATATATACAAATATATATAGGATCATGTATAAAACATAAGTGTACAACATGATTCTACACAAGTATGGAACATATATGATTCTATCATCTAATACTATACATAACTTTAATATGTAAAGCCAGTTTAGGAATTGATGTGTAGTTATAAGTATAGTTATATGTATATAGTATGTGATTAGACACAACAATAAACCAGATATCTCTTCGTTATACTCCTTCCCATCCTCTTTGTTCCCACAGCTGCCTCATCACCTCTCCCTTGCAGTAGCTCAGGACTCACTCCCCACCCTCAATCTGTCCTCACATCAACTGTCTGCCATCTCTACAAACCCCTATTTGACTGTGTCATCTACATGCTTAAAGGTCTCTGGTGGCCCCTCACAGTTTATATTTTGAAGCTGATATTCCTTAGCATATTATTCAGGTCTCATTCCCAGTTGAGGAATGTTTATATTTGAAATGATGGAGTAGAGCAGGTTGACAGTGCAGAGTGAGTGTGGTAGGAGCAGAATTCCCTGGGAGGTGCCTGGTGATCCTGGAGGACCCCACTCATCCAGTGCCTGTACCCATGCATTCTGAGTGATGACAATGGCTTTGTGTAACAAAGTACTTACCAGACACTGGACCAGTGCCAAGTTTATTATTGTTATTATTATTACCATTATTACATTTATTTACTCACTTGGTGTATTTATATGTTGCATTGTGTATCTGTGACAGTATGTGTGACACATGGCATATGTGTGGCAATCAGTGGACAGCATAGGGTTGCAGTTTTCTCCTTCTGCCATGTGGATCTCAGGAATTGAAGTCAGGAACCAGGCATGGCAACAAGTCCTTAACCCACTGAATCATCTCGGCAGCACAGAATCAAGTTCTTCACTTGAAGATGCGTCATGGATTCCTGGACTATCCCAATATTTCTAAGAGGGTTTTCTGTTAGTCCTGTTTTATGATGGGGAAACTCAGCTCCTGGAGTCTGTCATTGCTCTAGAACTCCACAACTAGTGTGTTACTGAACTAGGCATCATCTCAAACTTCCAGAGCACTTCACTCCATCCTATTCACATCTGCAGAGACTGTGGAGCTGCCTATTCATAGACCCAAACTTCCTGTTTCATCTCTTTAGCTCCCACTCACCTCCTGTCCTAAACACAACCCCAACACACACTGTCTGGGTCCCCAGTCTTCACTCTGATCCAACCCTGCCTCAGCCCTTGCTTGCCTCACACCAACTCATCCTTCAGTACCTTCCTGAAAGGCCACCTCCCATAGTGCTCCACTGGTGCTGCACTAGGGGACCAACTAAGCAACCCTGCTCCTTGCTCCCAAGGCACCCCTTGTAACACTTATCACACATCACACTGCAGCCTGACTGCTCTCTCAATAAGATGATGGGCCCTTTGTGGCAGAGACCAGGTCAGCTTCCTCTTTCTGGTCCTAGCTAGAATCTGGGATGGAGTAAAAGCTTCATAAATATCTGCCAACCTGAATTTGCTCAGTGGATGTTCAAACTGGGTGATTTGGGGTGACTATTCCTATAGACTTTGCAGTATACTTTGAGGTCTAAAGAATTTACATCAATCATTCCATCTCATCTTCCAAGGTTGATAATGTTCCCACAGCTGTGGAAACTGACTCAGTTCCCTCAAGCTCACCCAGCCAGGAAGTGGCCAGGCGAGGACTCGACCTCATGTCTCTCTGAGTTCAAAGTTCTCTCCATCACTTCCCAGGTCATCCGATGCAAACCACTTGCACATTTTACCAAGGGTGCTGTAACTGGGAGAGAGAAGTTGCTGGCTGAGGACCATTCCGTTTGTACCCCATTGCTCCTCTCCTCAACAGGAAATGTCCAGCAAGGTGACACAGTGGGAAGAGGTCCTGGACAGGACAGGAGTGTGCTGCCTCCGTCTCTTCCCATTTGCTCTCTCCCTGTGTGTCACAACCTGAATGTTTAAATTTTCTATTTAGTATTTACTCTGAAATGGCTTTCATCTGATTTCCCCCTTGCTCACCAATTTAGCTGTCAGAGTAAATAAACGTGAAGCTGGGTCTCCAGCCTCTCCAGCTCATATTACCTTCCTAGAATTACTCCCGGCGGGGTGGAACCACTGCTGGGGGCCTCCCACAGAATTATCCGGTTACTAATGAAGCCTCTTTTCAAGCCCAAACCTTTCAGGACAGCAGAGTCTCAGGTTGGGGGGAGGATGGCAAAATCCACCTCAGAGGACCAGATGACCATATCCTGTTAGTGACCAGTGGGAGCGGAAATGATGACAGCATAGATGCCTGGTACTAAACACAGCTCCAGAATGGAGTCAATGTTTGTAAAAGTATCACGTGTAATGTGTGGCTAGTTGTCACTCCAACCCCGAGGGGTGAGGATCGTTAGCCCCATTTGCAAGTTGAGAAAGAGAGCTCTGAGAGGTAAAGTGACCTGCCCACGGTCTCCTACAGGAGGAAAATGAGTATCCTGTCTGAACAGACTAGAGGAATTGTTCTGAAGTTTGGCAATCTGGTCTCATTCTGCTGCAGGACTCTGGGCTTGTGGGAAGGAAGATTTCTTGTCCGAAGTGATTTCATTTTTGTCTTTGAAGTTGGATATGCTCTGAGCTAGAATAATAGGTCTGCTGCTTCCTTGAGTAAGTTATTCAGGAGAGTTTTTGAGTGTTTAAATTATGTCTTACCTATTCCAGAAAGAACCTGAAGTAGTATCCAGTAGAATAAACACTAACTACAAAATCTGGTGGGTCTCTGCCATGGTGGCCCCTAATATTCAAGGACTGGGTAGTGTGTGACAGACATTCTGAGCCATTGGCATAAGTTTCACAGTTGGGTGGGACTGTGCTTAGGAGGCTGGACTCTGTTATCATCCCTACCTCGAAGGAGAGGGAACTGAGGCTGAAGGAGTGAATGGAGGACTTGCTAAGCCAAAACATAAGGGGCAGTGTTATGGCTAGTACCAAGGCAGGCTGCCCTCAGTCTTTGGACTTTGGTACTGACTGAGTTCCATGCCTCTTATTCTAGTTTTGATTTTTCGAAGGATCTAATCAGAATCCAGGTGTGGACCTGCATGGAGATAAGAGTTTCTGTTTGGAGTGCCAAGACACAAAATCTAGATTCCTATAAACAAGGGCACCATATCATTTTTGTAGAGTTACTAGGAGGATTGAAGAGGATGGTGCATACAGAACAGAGCTAAGTCACACAAATGGTGCTATGTCATTGCCGCAGTCATTCTGGGAGCAGGTACTTCCCACTTCTCCTCATAGCTGTGGCACCACCTGTTTGCTGCCACCGGACCTCTGCCATCATTTCTCTACCTGGACCACTGTCTTCTGTCTCCCAAACTATGTAAATCTCAACCACCATTTTGTTTCAACTGGTCTTATCTTACCTAAGAAGTTTTGGAGGACCAGCACAACCTTCAAGCCTGGTCTTTTTGGGTTCCTATGCTTGCCATGTTCTGTGTATTGCCCTCTGGACTCTCCAGGCCAGGAAAGGAGAAGAGAGGAGGGGAAGGGAGGGGAGGAGAGACACAAAGACAGTGCTGCTGTTTTTCTGTCTGTGCTGATGAGCCAGAAGTATCCATATTTTTGACAAAATATGAAAAGCATGTGTGTGTATGCACATGCTCACCAGGAGTGGTCATAGTCATGGGTATAGCCTAAAAATGAAGGTCATAAGCTCTGTAGATGAATCCAATTTTGAGTTCTTGGCTCAGGCAGTTATTAGCTATGTGGCACTATGATGGGTATGAGTTCTTTAAACTTCAGTTTAAAATGGGTAAAATGGGTAACATAAGGAATGCTGCCTCACGTAGAAAATGAGATCACAATTGTAAAATGCTTAGCATTTTAATGCCTAGCCCGGATTAAAGCATTCAAGAATAGTAGTGTATATGTGTACATATGTGTGCATGTACACACCTCACCTACTTCCAAAGTTTAATATGTTCTCTTTAGTATAAAAGACTGGTTCAGAACCTTTCTGCTCTGTAGATGCATGTGCCTGAGAGCAATAAATTACTGGAATGCAAGGGCTGATGCCATTAGCTGGGGCTGTTTCTGCCCAAAGGAGCAGATACGTGCGTCTCTTTAGGGTTCCGGAGATGGGTGTTTAATTCTGTGATGGTGTGTACAAAACATCAGTGTGTTTCTGGCTATGCCTATTTGTGCAGCTAGAGACTGACAGCTGGGAATGCTGTTCTTTGCAAAGGTGTATGTTGCTTTCTCATAAGCCTAGTGCCTGTATTGACACCTGCAAGAATGCAGTACATAGTAGGAGATGTCAGATAACAGACAAGTAGTTACATGGGTTTGGAGCTCTATGGGAGCCTGGACTCTCCTGAATATGGCTGTGTGTACAAGTGTAAGCATGATTGTGGGGGTGCTGTTTACATCTTTAAATGAGGGCAATTATGGAGATGGTGGTCTGTGTGATGGGTGGGTTGTTGTGCTATGCAGGACTGGATCTAAATCTGAGTGTGCACATTTTTAAAGAAGAGGATGCGTATTTACACACTTCCTTGGCACAGTTTGTGTGTAGAGAAAGAGGCTGAGGCTATATGCGTCCATTTGTGTTTGTCAGTTTGAGGGCTCAGTGTTCCGGGGTGTGCCTCCTATCTACATGTCCAGGTCTCTGCCTTTCCCTAACTCTCATTGTAGTTAGAGCCCCATGGAAGGTAGAAAATGTAGAAGTAAATCTTGAAGTGAAGGTTGATGTCCCAAGCAATTCCTTCCAAAAGAATCCAGGGGAACTGCCCTCTCACCGCCACTGGCACACTTAGCTTTGACCCCAGTTCTACGCAGCCCTTAGGAGCTAGTGCAGGCTCTGGTTGTTCTGGAGCAGAGATCTCTTTGCAGGAGTGTGAGGGGTGTGTAGATGTCCGGGACCTGGGGGGTTAGTGTGAGCAGGTAACCATTTGCGGCTATATGTACACAAATGTGCTCGGCACTGCACCAACAGAGTGTGGCTTCACGTGGAATCCAGCTCTGCAGATGGGCTGACCACGGATTCCTCTCACACTTATGAACCGGCTATGTGAGGGCGGTGGGTGCCCTTGAGGGAGGGGCGGTAGTAGGAGCTGTGAGAATGTAAGCCCGCCAGTGTTTTTGTATGTTAGCATGTTCCGAGAGTCCCTCTGTAGCACTGAGTTTCAGTGTGTCTCTCTGTGTGTAAGTCTCTGAGTCTGCCTCCTTGTGAATGTCTCGCTCTTCTTAGCGGGGAGGGGATTGGTCACGCATGACTCATCTTGAACGGAGCGGGGTTCCAGCGGCAGGGCGGTCGTCGCCGCAGCTGGAAGGGGAGGAGGACGAAGAGGAGGGAGAGGAGGAGGAAGAGGAGGAGGAGGAAGAGGAGGAGGAGGCAGCAGCGGCAGCCGCAGAGGCAGCTGCAAGGACCTTTCCAAGTTTGTCGGGACCTTCTTCCGAGGAGGCAGTGGCGCCGGCAGCCAGGGAGGCTGGGTCTGCTTTCAGGCCGGGGGCGGGAGCTGGGGCTGGGCCCGGGGCGGCCCGGCCGCAGCCTCGGTTCTCCAGCTCTCGCAGCAGCCTCTGCCCCCAGGGCACCCGAGGCCCCCCTCCGCGCCGCTCTCCGTGCTGCGCGCCCGCCGAGCCCTCCGCTCCCGGGCCCATGTACTGGAAGCATGAAAGCGCCGCCCCGGCGCTGCCCGAGGGCTGCCGCTTGCCGGCGGAGGCCGGCCCCGCTACCGACCAGGTGAGCTAGCTGAAGAGTGGGTAAGCCTACTGGATCCCGGGGCCAGCGAGAGTCGGGATTCAGCTCGGCCGGGCCGGGTGGCAGGCGGCAGTAGGGAGGAGGGGTGCTGGGTGAGCCCGGGGAGTGTGTGTCTGCGAGTGTGAGAGTGTGCAAGGGGGTGCGGGGGGGGGGGGGGTCGCGGAAAGCGGGAACACATTATGCAAATGTTGGAGGAATTTCTCAAAAAGCGATTTAGCAAAGACATAGGCGAATCAAGAGGAGGCGAGGCCAGTATTGTCCGTCTGAATAGGCGCTGATAGCGCCGATGCGCCGGGGGTTGTGCCGGCGCAACGCTGAGAATCCCGACGCGGGGCCGGTCCCGGGCTCTCCGAGAGTCGGGAGGGTTCTCTTTCCTCCTCCAGGAGGCCTCTCTTTTCTCTTTTTGGCCTCATTTTATTTGCCGATCTCGTCCTCGTTGGCTCCGGGCTTCCCTTCCAAAGGCGTTTGAATCGGTGTCAATATCCGCGCTTCAATTTCGCGGCGCGCGTCGGGCAGGAGGGCGGATGCTCCCAGTGCTCTGGGTTTTATTTTTCTCAACCATCACCACTACCACCACCACCCCCATCTCCTTTTTATTTTCTTTCTTTCTCTCTTCTCCTTTTTACATTTTGTGCCGAGAGTAGGAGAAGGGAGGGGTGGAGGAAGAAAAAAATTCGATTTTTAATTACTACCATTAAAAAATCAAATTTGCAATTCTTTGGGCGGCCTGATGGATCTCACTGATTGACAGTTGGAATTGACACTCTGGCTACCTCTTATCTTGGGCATTCACGACAATTTCTAATTGCAGGTAGTTTGTGTGTGTGCGTGTGTTTTTTTTTCCCCCTCAGAGGCTTGGATTGCAAAGGAACTAAGCGATTACTTCAAGAGCCACGGGTTAAGTGCAGGGAGAGGGGGAGAGAGAGGGAAAAAACCCAATCCAAATTCAAATTGCTTCATTAGAGAGACACCGCTTTTGTGGGGAAGGGCTTTAAATGCCCACTACAAAGTTAGGATTCATTGTTCACCGCCGGTTTATATAACAGGCGCGGGGAGGCGCAGGGCTCTGACAGCTCCGAGCCAGTTCAGCAGCCGCCGTCGCCTGCATTCCCTCCCCCTCCCCCAGGTGATGGCCCAGCCAGGGTCTGGCTGCAAAGCGACCACCCGCTGTCTTGAAGGGACCGCGCCGCCTGCCATGGTGAGTCCATTCGGCTCTGCTTTCGGCCCCGAGTTTTCTCCCAACGGCACAGGCCAGGGCATCTGGCTCAGCCTTCTGGCTACCAACCTCTACCCCTGCGCTGGAGAGTTGCCGATAGGAGCCGCCTCTCTTTAAGCCTTGGTTTTTCTGGCCTGGAATGTGGGCTTTGGCTACTTCCTGCACCCAGGATACGCTGTGTTAAAAGTTGGGGGCCGTCCCTTCTTCTCCAATAGATCCTTTCATTCTGGTTCTCCAGCCTAGGGCGCGACATCCTTGGCACATTTCGTTGTCAGTCGGTGCGCAAGGGAACCAGATTTGTCTTTACGGCAACTCCGGGTGTCCGGCTTAGCGCTTCGCTGTTCCTCTTTCCTATTTCAGGCTCAGTCAGACACCGAGGCCCTGGCAGGCGCTCTGGACAAGGATGAAGGTCGAGCCTCTCCATGTACGCCCAGCACACCGTCTGTCTGCTCGCCGCCCTCTGCCGCCTCTTCCGTGCCGTCTGCAGGCAAGAATATCTGCTCCAGTTGCGGCCTCGAGATTCTGGACCGGTATCTGCTCAAGGTGAGTCAGGGTAGGTGTTGCCTGCATGATGGGTGGGTGTGAACTGTAGGGAAGCCCTGAGGACTGTAGAGAAGCAACGCCCTTGCCCGGTCCATTTTATTCGGCGTCCTAGTTCAGCCGCTGACGGATTGCGCAGCTTTGGGCAAACGTGGGAGGTCTCCTTTTGCCCCGAGTTTCAACTAGAAAATGGGAAGAGTGTATTTCAATTTCCTTGAGCCTCCGTATTGTAGAAGAAAACTAGAAAAGCCATTCGCCCTTCTGAGCTTCAGTGTCTCTCTCCGCAAATGAGGCTGGGGAGGCTGGGGGGCGGGAGTGAAAGAGGCCCGCGCTGAGCCGACCCCCCCCTCCGCCCCCTCCCCAGGTCAACAATCTCATCTGGCACGTGCGGTGCCTCGAGTGCTCTGTGTGTCGCACATCGCTGAGGCAACAGAATAGCTGCTACATCAAGAACAAGGAAATCTACTGCAAGATGGACTACTTCAGGTAGGCTGCAGCGGTTTGGCCAGCAAGTGCTGGTGCACGCAGGCCCTGAACAGGAGTTTCTAGTGTGGCCGGTGCTCTCCGACTCCTGAGTCCTGCCATCCCGAGAGCAATACGCAGCTCGGCGCGCTGGCCCAGCTCTCCTGCTCTGCACGTCTTAAACAGAAGGCTCCGGGTAGAGAACCAGTGCCAGCACGAGCGATCTGCCTCGGGTTCCTGAGGCCTGATCCTCCCTGGTCACGGTTCTGGCTCCGTTTCTGGTCTTTTCTGAGTCTCAGGCTCCAGTTGTGATCTGTTGAACATTGACATCCGTGGCTCTGGCCGGGATCGGTCCGGCTTCTAGGCGCCATCCGGCTGCTTCTCTAGCTCTGGTTCCCACTTGAAATCCAGTTGTGTGTGGCCTATCCTGGCAGGGAGATCCTAAGATAGGCTCAGGACTCCAGTTCTAGCTTTGCTCTGCTCTCAGTTCTGGGCTCAGATCTGCTCCAGCCCCAAGTGCCAACGCCACATCCGACTGCAGCCCTAGCCCAGATCCTGGCGCTTAGTCCTAGGCACCAATCTTGATCTCTGCCTCCTCCACAACTCATGCCGTGGTCGCTTTTTGAATTTGGGGTTATGATTAGGTTCCAGGCTCCTGTTCCCGCCATTGCTCGGCCATCGTTTCAGCCCTGCCTAGGTTCAGACTCTAGCTCTAGGCCTCCAGGTCGCGCTTTGGGAGCGGCGGCGTTGCATTCCACCTAGCTATACTTTGCGCCACCGCCGCCACCGTGCCGAAAGCCTGCTCCCCGGCAGCTCACGACCCATCACTGCTGGTTGCATGGGCCTGGCCCGGCCTGGCAGCTGAACCTCCTACAGGCACCTAGCTTCTAGGCACACAGCAGGCGCCTGCTGACCGGGTCGAGGTCATGGCAGTGCCCAGGGGCACTACGAAGAATCTATCAGATCTATGAGGGAAGCCGAGAGTCTGCTGAAGAATGATGTGGAATTGGTTCCTCCCAGCAATGCCTTCTTCCAAATACTTTCTCCGGAAGTGGAGAAAGCTGCCCTATGTATACATTCCCCCTATACACAGACAGACAGTCAGTCAGACAGACAGACAGTCAGACAGACAGACAGACACACACACACACACACACACACGCACACACACGCACACACGCGCGCGCGCTTCTCTTTCGAGAGAAGTCTTGACTCAGTCCCAGAACACTTGTGAGTCAGGGAATGTGGTGGGTGGCCACCCTCATCCTCTTTGAACCTACAGGGACCTGGCAAAAAGTCCTTGAACCCAGGGAGAAGTTAACAGCATGTGGGACTGCAGTTCTCTGAGAAACCAGGAGAAACAGCCTCTTCCTTCACATCATGGGTCCTAGGACTGTGTGCAAGGAGCATGTGTCTATGTGGTGTGGTCCAGCAGTGGTGCTGGGTATGTGCCACCAAGCAGGATCGGACATATGAACAGTAGGTATGTTCCTTTATAGAAAAGCATGTGTCTTTCTAGTCACATGTGAGTGTTGAGAGTATAGGCCTTGCATGTGATTGCTGAAACTTTGTGTGCTTCCCAGTGGTTTGCTTAGGACAGGGGACACATCTGGACCAGATGTAGGAGGGCAAGTTGGGGTGAAAGGATTTGAATGCCATTTTCCACCTCCAGATTCTCTGAGGGAGCATTGCAAGGGTAAGGGTGTGGTGTGCAGGTGGACCTTTGGACTAACAACTGCTGTGCATGTACATAGAAGAAGGTTATGCCTGTGTGGTGTGTAAAAAAAGATTGAGGTCTCCTCTGTCTGATGTTTTATCGGTTTAGTTTAGACAGAAAATGTATATTACAGATATTTTCTAGCCACCTTCTGCTCTAGGCCTTCCTCTATAGAATAAAGCTGGGCAGGTGCCTTCTTCTGGCTCTTCAGATGATAAAGGCCCAGGCAGCCCTACCCTGTGTCAGAACTCCTCATTATCTCCATGCTGGACTGAGACTCCTCGATGTCATGCTTCACAGAATTTTGAAGGACCAGTCAAAACTAGGCTCTTGATTCCCTCATGTATAACCCCCACCAATTCCCCATGCCACTGTACTGGTGTGGTGGGTGGCATGCACAGCCAACCTGAGAAGAGGCTAGAGACTCTGAGGCTAATTATGACCTTGGGCAAGTCACAGCATCTCTGCTCTGATTTTCCTTTCCCAGGATGGCCTCCTGAACCAAGGAGGCCACCAAGAGGGAGCAGTCTCCATAAAGGCTCATACATGACAGTGAATATGAATGCATCAGTTATAACCATTATGGTCATTGACAGGGTGGGTACCAGTCATGAACCTGTGATAGCATTTCCTCAGGCAGCCTGGAGAGCTGGACCTGCCTGTCTGGCCAGGCCATTCCTGAGAAGAGGTTCCGACTGATAACCCTTTTCCAATGACAGGCTATCTCAAAACAAAACCAGATTCTAAGTTAAGAAAATAGTGAGTAGTGCTCACTTTGCCCAAAACAAGGGTAGAGTGAGTGGTGGATTTTCTGATCCCTTCTCTCCTTGCCAGTCTCCATGCAGGCATAAATCATCTCTGGCAGCCTCACCAGTTACACAAATAATAAAACTCAAGACAGGGAAAGAGAAAGCCTGTAGAGGATCAGGCAAGGACTATTGTCTGCCTGAGCAGCAACACAGACTCTTCCCAGGGAGTTGAATAATGGTGTGTGGGAAGCAGAATTCCCGCTCAAGAACTGGGGCTGAGAAGGCCAGCTGTGCCTCTCCAGGCCTCTGTTTCCCAAAACAGGGGTCAACAGTCTGGGTCTGATGGTGTGTGGACTGAAGTATTCTGCCAAAGGGAGGCAACATCTTCCAACGGGGTAGAGGGGAATGGTGAGCAGGAGTGTGCCCAGGGCCCCAAGGAGTGGACACTTTGGACTCCCAAGAGCTTCTAACCTCTGACCTTGCCCCCACAAAAGGATTTTATCCCAGATTCTATCTCCTCTCTCTCCCTTCCCTAACATTATCTTGTAGATTTTTCTTCAGTTTCTATTGGCAGAGTGGGTGTTGGTGGCTCAGAAGTTAGAGGTCAAGAAGAAACTCCAAGTTTAGCAGGGACTGAAGTTGCAAAACATGGAGGAACTGGAGAGTCTGATGCTGCTCCTGGCTTGTTTGCACTTGTGGGGGGCAAGTGGTTCTCCCATTATGTGCCCTTGGCCAGGTTTCTGGACATTTTGGCCTCAGTTTTTCCAATTCCTTCTCCGAACAGAGAACTCACCAGCCATTGTAAGTTCATTTTGATTCTCCACCTACCCCCTACTCTTGGCAAGCGCGACTGAAACATAAAATCACCAACAAGGAAGTAGGGTTTGCTTTAATTTCTTTCTTCCTTTCTTCCTTTCTTCCTTTTTTTTTCTGAAACCATTCCTCCTCCCTAATTTCCCCCATGAACTGGAGAAGATTGTGGTGTGTGTGTGGAGGGTGTCTGAACTGAAGAAGATTTGGTGTGTGTGTGTGTGTGTGTGTGTGTGTGTGTGTGTGTGTGTGTGTGTGTAGGATGTGTCTGAACTGAAGAAGATTTGGTGTGTGTGTGTGTGTGTGTGTGTGTGTGTGTGTGTGTGTGTGTGTGTAGGATGTGTCTGAACTGAAGAAGATTTGGTGTGTGTGTGTGTGTGTGTGTGTGTGTGTGTGTGTGTGTGTGTGTGTAGGATGTGTCTGAACTGAAGAAGATTTGGTGTGTGTGTGTGTGTGTGTGTGTGTGTGTAGGATGTGTCTGAACTGGAGAAGATTGTGGTGTGTGTGTGGAGGGTGTCTGAACTGAAGAAGATTTGGTGTGTGTGTGTGTGTGTGTGTGTGTGTGTGTGTGTGTAGGATGTGTCTGAACTGAAGAAGATTTGGTGTGTGTGTGTGTGTGTGTGTGTGTGTGTGTGTGTGTGTGTAGGATGTGTCTGAACTGAAGAAGATTTGGTGTGTGTGTGTGTGTGTGTGTGTGTGTGTGTGTGTGTGTAGGATGTGTCTGAACTGAAGAAGATTTGGTGTGTGTGTGTGTGTGTGTGTGTGTGTGTGTGTGTGTGTGTGTGTGTGTAGGATGTGTCTGAACTGAAGAAGATTTGGTGTGTGTGTGTGTGTGTGTGTGTGTGTGTGTGTGTGTGTGTGTGTGTAGGATGTGTCTGAACTGAAGAAGATTTGGTGTGTGTGTGGAGGGTGTCCCATTCTTCTCTGGAGTATTCATTTCCCATTACCGTCAGCGAACACACCACAGGGCAGTTTGATGTGCCTACCTACAGCTATTGCTCCATGGCCTGCTGGCACTATCCTCAAAGCTCCTGTGGTCTCTTAGAGTGTTGTACCCATTTGTAGCAAAGAAGCCCCATGTGCTAGGAGAAAAGCCCAGGATCACCCAATGATTGAGAGCACACAGTAAGACTACCAAACCTTTTATCTGCTATATCCTGTATCTCGTGTAACCATGTGATCCACCCTGTATGATACTGTCAGCATCTCCACCTTATGGGAGGGAAACCGAAGCTCTGAGGGATGAGGTCAGCCAGGTGATGTTCAGATAAGCTCCACAGCCACTTGGCTCTACAACTTCTTCCTCTAAGTGTCCCTATAACTCTTCTATAGTCAAAACACAGCTGCCACCTTTTGCAATTGTAAGGCATATAGAATGGCAAAGACCTTTCTCTGCTATCCCTATGATTCTCATCCAGTTTCCCTGATTCACATAAAGAGCACCCACTATATGCTTGAATGGCCCCATGAGCACTACAACAGAAGTAATCTTTTCAGAAGTCAATAACTAGCAACTTTCCTGAGACCAAGGACTCTGGTCCTTATCCCTTTTCTCTCTGACAATGGGAATAGGGAACAAAGAGGTATAGGGATGGGATTGGGAGCCTGAGAGCTCCAGAACTAACCGAAATTCCTGTTCTCTGCTTGGCTTACCACCCGGGGGTGGGGCATGGGGGTGGGGGGCGCTCCAGCCTTCTCTGGCCTTCCACTCTGAGCCCAAGCTCTGTCTCTGGTCTTCAACCCCTTTCCTCAGAGCTGGGGTCCCAGGGGAGACTGACAGCCTGGACACCAGCCCCCCACCATGTGCAGAGAGGCCCAGCAGCAACCAGCTGTTGGGGGACAGATGTTGGGGGAATGGAGGAGAGAGCTGGGAAAGAAGGAGCCTCGGGCCAGGACCTCCAGGCAGGCTTAGCTGCTGTTTAACCTCTTAATTGCTGGTTCTGCACCCCTTTTCCTTTTAAGGGTTTTGTGCAGGAAGGAAGTGGGGAGAGAATAGGAAGGCCTTCACTTCCAGTTCTCTGTCTACAGTTCTCGGTCTTGAATGTCTAAAACCTAAAATAAGTGAACTCCAGTTTCTTTTGGTGTTAAGAGACCTCACCCTGAGCTTCGTTTCCCCCGTGTAAAAAGAAGCAATTTAGTGTGCGTGTGGGATTCCAACGGGCTCACTTATTTTTAGAGGCTCGTTCACCCAACCTATATCAAGGAGCATCTTCTATGTGTCCAGGGGAAGTAGACCTGGAAAATGAGCCTGACCTGGTCAAGGACGCAGTTCCGCCTACAAAACCGGCTATCCGGATTTCTGCTCTCCACTGTGGGGAGAGGGTTTGTTGGTTTCCCTTTAACAGTTACTAGGATTCGCTGCCTCTGTCGGGCACCTCTCTATCCTCAAAGCTCATCCACCCTTTTCGTCTCTGACTGTGGTGTGCTGGGACCCTGGTGGGGAAGCGCAGAGAATCCAGATCTCACCGCGTGGGTGAGGGTGTCAGTAGAATCATCCCCCAATCCCTTTAGCAATTCCTTCATAGCTCCCAAGCATCCCTTTCTTGAAGTTTCGTTGTCTCCGCAGACGAGGCTGTTTTTCGCTGCTTCCGGAATGAAGCGGCTGGAGCCTTGAAGCCTGTCTGGGTGGGAGTTTGTCGGTTTGTCAGACTTGAATCGTGGCTTCCTTTCGCTCTTTCTCTGTGAACTACCCCCTGTCCTGAGGACACTTTGTCTCTCCGGACACAATGGGCAGTGACACCTTTTTCCATGGATCTGATTCCAGGAGGATGTTTTGTTGACTGGGCCAATTCGTGGCGCTTCAGTCTAGGGTTGAAGACAGCATTTGAGATGTGCAGAGGGTGAGGAAGTTGCTGGTGGGTGGGTTACAGGAGGCACTTACTCAGGAGCGAGGGGATGGGGGCACTATGACCTATCTGTGTAGGCACCAAAGTCTGGCTCGTAAACAGAAAGATCTGTGATTCCAAAGGAGACTGGGACCAGGAATCCCGAGGAGTCAGGTGTGGGGACCGCTGTTCCTGGCGCAGAAGAGCACAGCATGGAAGCCAAAGACTGCTGCTCCTAAGGGCAGCCCTTCCCTGCTCCACCTCTCCTTGATCTCCGATAAGGCACTTCTCAGAACCCACTCCAGGAGTGGACCAGGGTTAGACCAGGCCCCTTACTATCCCCCACTGGGATGCCAGGTGTCCTCATCTCCATTCCAGTTGCTCCCAAACGTGTTCTAAGTCCTTCAGCACCTCGAGGGGACCTTAGCTCCCACCACACACTTTGTGTTGTGGAGTAAGTCAACACTGTTTTTGCACCTCTGACTCCAGGTGCCAGGTGTGAAAAAAGAGTTTGAGTCTGTACTTCACTGGTTACAGAAAAGATGAAGGGGTGCACTGAAGGTATTGAGCTGGAGGGGGGGTGCCTAACAGGAAGCAAAGGCTCTGAGAAGGCCTGGTTGTTCTGTTACCCCAAAGTACAAACAATGGAAAACCAGCCTCCCATGGGTGGCCAGAAAGTGGTTCCTCTGGGACTACCATCAGCAGGGCTGGGGGATGGGGTGTTGGTAAAGCGGTTTCATCTCCATTTTCTGAAGGATTAGGAATAGAGACCACAGACTGGTCTAGACTCTCCCACAGGGAAGCCTGATTTCTAAGGTCACAAAAAGCATCTACTTGGGTGGGGGGAGGTGTTTGATTAGGCAAAGGGCTGAAGCTTAGCATGAGCAAACTTAGAGGCTTGGGCAGGGTCCCTGGACTCCCCTTGAACCAGAGAGGAGAGAGAGATGTTGTGGAGTTTGTGTTTAAGAGTCTGAGGTGATGAAAGTGCTGCAATCTAGCATTTCCAACAGCCAATTGCTTAAATTTGCCACATCAGGCAATGCCACGGTGTAACTGGAGTGAGTTTTGCTGGGCTGTTTATACACACAGGTAGTGTGAGTGTGCTTTCAGATGGAAAGGTGCTGGCCCTGGAGGCAGGAGCACAAATCCTTCTGGTATACCCATCTCCAGGAATGCCAAGGATGAAAGGGGCAAGCCAAAGATGCAGACACTTAAAGAGAAGTGTAATCAGTGCTGAGATGGTGGTATGACTCTGGGGGGAGTCATGGCCAGGGAAGGAACAGCCTGCAAAGGCCTGGGGGTGGGAAAAGGCTGGGGGTGGAGAGAACAAAGGGCTGAAAATGAGCTTCCACTGTGTCTTGGGACTCATGCTTGAATACAGGGTGGGAGATACTGACGATTAGGAAAGAGGTGGGCCTGAGGAGGATGTGGTCTGTTGGGTTTTATAAATCCCAAGCATCTTGGACTAGACCCTAAGCATAACATGGAGCCACCAGAGACTATAAGCAGGCCAGCGGACAGGATTCTGTGTTCATGCTGAAAATTTAGCTACAGACTGCAGTGTGGAGGATACATTGACAAGCCAAGGTTGGAAAAGTAAGAGCTGAGTGCAGATGGGGTGGTGAGAGGAGCCAGGCCAAGAAAGGCAGCAGCGGGGATGGGTGAAGTGTAAGGTTCCGATATCCACACTGGAGGGATGGATGATTGTGGTCGTGCTTCCAGGATAGAGTGTGCTCCAGAGGAGACAGGCTTAAGGCTTAGGACCATCACAGGTGAGTCAGCCACTTCCAGGTGGGCTAGGCTCTGCGGCTTCCTGGAGGGACTCCTGGTCTGGGGATCCAGGCTGTAACAGCCTAACAGCCCCTACAGAAAGCAGAGAGAGGAGGGGAAGGGACAGAGAGACAGGCAGAATGGAAAAGAAGGCATAAGGGACAAGGGAGCTTTCGATCTGGACCCCCCCCCCCCCCCATTTAGTATTAGGATGCCATGGGCTCCAGAGTTCGGAGCTGCTTGTGTTGACTGCAAGACACTAAACAAATAGTAGCAGTCATTGCTGTGGTCCTCTTTGCAGCTTGGATCAAGGAAAATGAAAAGTCAAAGCAATTCAGTGATATGTGGGGTCACAAAGCCAGTGAGTGCATGTAGATGTATCCTAAGAAAGGCTGGGGCTACAGCTGGAGTCCCTGTCCTGTAATGAGACGTTTCCTGTTAGGGCCTAGATTCCCGATCTCCTCCGCTGCAAAATGAGAACCGAGATTAAACTCTGTGAAGCATTAGAATCTTGCAAGGCAGGCGATACTCAAACCTTTCCGTGTTTTGTACTGTTGTGTTTTCCTAACACTTGTGGAATAGTATAATGAACAAATACACAAATGTTAAGTGACTGTTGTAGAAAATCTCGCTCTCAATCATCTTATTGGTAGGACTTGGATGCACAGGAGTGATGGATTCGAGTGTGGGGTAATGAGGGGGCATGGGTGCTATGTGAACCCTGAGCAGCGAGCGCCCTGAGCAATAGAATCAAGAAAGGCGTTTCTTTACTTTCTAAACTTTACTATTCCGGTCCGTGTCCCCTTTTGATCCGCAGCCGATTTGGAACCAAGTGCGCCCGGTGCGGCAGACAAATCTATGCCAGTGACTGGGTGCGGCGGGCGCGTGGCAACGCCTACCACCTGGCCTGCTTCGCCTGCTTCTCCTGCAAGCGCCAGCTGTCCACCGGGGAGGAATTCGGCCTGGTTGAGGAGAAGGTGCTTTGCCGCATCCATTACGACACCATGATCGAGAACCTCAAGAGGGCCGCTGAGAACGGTACCCAACCCGCCCTACCCAGCACCTAGTCCTAGCCCTTTCCCACCATCCCTAGCACCTAGGTATGGTCGGCACAGTGGTACCTGCTGAGCAATCGCTGAAACACCTGAACGCAGCGTAGAGGGGTTGGGGGAAGGGAAGGCTACACGTGGAGCATGCACTCTGGTTCTATCATTTGCGTGAGTCGCCAAGTTTTTACTGGTCCCTGCAATGCATGCGGCAGGCCACACGCTCATTGGCCTGCGGAGCACCCCACCCTACCCCCCAGCTGCCTGGGCAGTCCAGGAGATACGGTGTTGCCCACATTCTTTCCACTTCCTTATGGGCTACACCAAGCCAGAGGCAAAGGATGGCTCATGCTGGATCAGGGGTTCTGAATATGAAGGTTTAAAAGGGTCTTGGTGACACCGCTCCACCATACAATGCCAACAGCGGAGGTTTCCTTTTTCTCTATGGGCCTCTTGCTGTCCTACATCTGTGCAAGCTATCTAGATGTTGGTCTAGAATGTTCTTGAATCTCCTCAGGCTCTGACATTATAACTTATCCAAGACATATATCCCAGGGTCAAAGTGACAGTCTTCCAGCATGCGGGGGTGAGTTGGGGTGATGTAAAAGGGGAGGTGGGGGACCCTAAAAGGGAGTGGAGCTGTGGCCAGAGGCAACAACCCTTTCCCTAGTACTGCTGTCAGGATCTGTGGATACTGCTAACTTCCCTGGAATGTGACCGGCTGTATAAATCCTTATAACACTTTTAGGAGCTTTGTGGTATTCATAGCTAGGAAAGAGGCAGAGGTTATCTGCAGTACTCACCTTCAAAGGTTACACCTAATAGGTCTGCTCCTGCCCTAAATTCCTTAACTATCATAATGTAGCACACTACAACATGTTACTTCATCCCTACGCTCCAGAATCCCCTTCAGCCGCCAGGAGACTCCTGGGATGTGCTTGCCTCTGTGAGTTTCATTTTTTTTCCATCTAAAAAAACTAGGCACAGTAACCCTTAAGATGACTGCTTTTCTTGGAATATTAATATCGCACAGCTCCTCTCGAGAGGAATATGGACCTCCCTACCTCAATTAAAGGCACCAGTGGAGGGCTAGTCAGGCCCACGGAGTGTTACTGGCCATGGCCTCACCCGAGACCATCACTTTCTCCTGTTAGGATCAGTAGCTAAGTGGGGAGCAACTGAACTTAAGGCACACTGAAGTTTCCTGTAGTGCGGGACCGAGTCAGCAGCAGAGCTGGGTTGGGAACTTAGGAGTCAGAGCTTCCTCTACACTATGTAAACCACTCAGGAAACCACAGGCTCCTTTCACTCCCGGACCACCCAGGGCCACCCTTAGTCCTTGCCTTGCCAATGACCTCCTATGCAGGGGAACTCGAACACCTGGGGCTTCTGATCACTGGCCATCAGCACTGGCTATTGCTTTTCTTTTAAGCAAAACAACACACACATTCATTATAGAAAAATGAGGAGAGGTGGTTAAGGAAAAATTTGAGATGTCATTATCTCCCTGTTTCCACTTCCAGTTTTTTCTTTGTACATGCAGGGTTTTTTGTTTTTGTTTTTGTTTTTTCTGCATTAAAACATTACAACAAAGCGTGAGCAGTGGTTACCCCTAAGAAGTAGACTCACTGTGACTTTCCCTTTCTTTGTGCTTGCCAGATTTTTGGGCTTTTGATAAGAACAATGTATTATTTTTTTATTCAGAAAAATGAAGCATTAAAATGGGAATATATTTGGTTTGCAATCATAGCTGCAAAAGTTCTATAAAACAGAAAGACAGTACCTAAGATATATCCTAGTTAGTAAACTATTTAGAGAAGGTAAAATGTAATTCTTTTAAATACTTCAAAAGTTGCCGGGAGTGGTGGCACACACCTTTTGTCCCAGCAATCAGGAGGCAGAGGCAGGTGGATCTACATGAGTTAGAGGCCAGCCTGATCTACAGAGAGAGTTCCAGGACAGCCAGGGCTACACAGAGAAACTCTGTCTCGAAAAACCAAAATAATAATAGTAATAGTCATAACAACAACAACAAATAAAATAAAGAAAAAGAGGAAGTTACTGAAATATCGAAAGTGAAGTTACCACAATCATACTCCTTGGAGGTAGGCCACTGTAACGACTTGAGCCTTCCCAACTTTTCCCTCCTGATTGTTTCTGTGAATTCGGGATCATAGCTTCTACAACCGCAAGTTTTTATCTCCACCTCGGTTTCCCTCCAGCTTAGCTAGGAGGGACGTTAGGGTCAGCCGGGCTACAGATCTGAGACAGATAATTTGGGGTTCCCAGCCAGGAGCTTTCTTCTTTCTGAGCCTTAGTTTCTCTTAAAAAATGGGCAATAGTATAGAGAGGACGCACTGGGCTCGGGGACTATAGCCCTGGGATCCCCGCTCCCAGACACCTCGCTCCTGACCCTTCCAGGGACAAGCTCCCCCCCACCCGGTCCTTTCCAGGCTGCCACTAGAAGAGATGGGGACGCGTGGTCAGCCGCTTCTGTCGCCCCCCAGGGAACGGTCTCACGTTGGAGGGGGCAGTGCCCTCGGAACAGGACAGTCAGCCTAAGCCGGCCAAGCGGGCGCGGACGTCTTTCACAGCAGAACAGTTGCAGGTACGCAACCCCGACCCTCCCGCTAGCCCCGAGGCGTGTGGGCGGGGCCTCGGAGTGGGCGTGGTTGTGCGGGACTTGTGACTCCACCCCCTCGTGCTGGGACCCGCGGGAGGTCGCGCCGGGCTGAAACTGCCTGGGGCGTGGCCTCGGGTCCCGAGCCTCTGATTGGGCGGAGGTCTCAGGGCACTCGTACGCCCCGCAGGTTATGCAGGCACAGTTCGCCCAGGACAACAACCCCGACGCGCAGACGCTGCAGAAGCTGGCGGACATGACGGGCCTGAGCCGCAGGGTCATCCAGGTGGGGCTCCGGGGTCTCGGCGTTCAGGTCTGGGGCGGGTCTCGGGGCGAGCGCTGGAGCTCGTAGCGGAGGGTCTCGGGTGCACGTGGCCGCCCCTCTCCAGTGTGGCCTGAGGTCCCCAGGCGGCACGGCTGACCTCTTTCCGCGATTGCTGAGACTGCGGAGGCTGTCGTTCCAGGTGTGGTTTCAAAACTGCCGAGCGCGTCATAAAAAACATACACCGCAGCACCCAGTGCCGCCCTCAGGGGCGCCCCAGTCCCGCATCCCCTCCGCCCTGTCCGACGACATCCACTACTCTCCGTTCAGCAGCCCCGAGCGGGCGCGCATGGTCACCCTGCACGGCTACATCGAGAGTAAGTGATATTGATTCTGGGGCCGCCAGGCCTGCTGGGAAGGGGACGCTGAGGAGTGCTCCTTGGTTTCGTAGGCGTGGGGGGATCTGAGGGAGACTAGTGGATGAAGATGTGAAGGGGATCAGTTTCCGCCCTTCCTTAGTGGGTCGGCCTTTTGGAAGAGGGAACAAATAGTAAAACTTCAAGCAGCCTCTGTGTATGTGCGTGGGATGGGGGGCAGGAACCAAGAAGCCTGCGTTCTGACGGGCAAGACAGCCTAGGTCAAAACTCAAGTGTGCATGCAGTTTTCATCACAGTGATTCCTATAGGGAAGATGCCAGGTGGGAGTGTCCAAAGATGCTGGGGCTGGAGGAGTATTGCCTCTGAGCAAGCTGGGCTATGAAGGATGGACTAGATTTCCTGAGGCACATAGACTGGGGAACTGAAAGTGGGTAAACCCTGACTCAGAAGGCATCCTGCGGAGCAGAAGCCAGGATGGCACGACCACCCAGAGCTGTGAGGCCTTTGGACAAGTCACATACTCTCCTCGAACCCTTCTGTTTCCTCATCTGTGAACTAGAATAGTGATAATGCCTCTCAAAGGGTATTGAGAATTGATTGACATGGGCATCCAGCAAATGTATACTCTGAGTGCCTCCTGCGTTCTTAGCACTAAAATAGAAGAGTCAATAAATAGATCAGAATTGCACAGCTCCTGGGACTCACATTCCAGTGAAGAGACAAATTCCTCCCTTCCTTTACCTCCCTCCTTCCTCCCTCCATGTCGGCATGATAGCAAGTGCTATGCCATTGAGTTATGATCCCAATAAAGACAGTAAAGGCAGATATGTGGGTGGGCAGTGGGCACTAGAGGGGTGGATGGGTCATGGTGAAATGATCTTGAAGCTGGCACCTAGATGAGTGAAGGCATGGCCTGGATTTCTGAGAGATGAGCAGTCAGTGAATCTGCTACTCAGCTGGTGCTTGTTACAGTCTCTCTGCTTTTGGGATCATTTCCTCAGCTGGGTATGACAAAAGGAAAAAAAAAAGTCATCCACACCCATACTCTCTCTCAAGCCATTTGTGGCTCCAACTAAAAGGGGGAAGAAGGGAGCAAACTCTTGTTTATGGAGCATCTGCCCTTTGCCAGAGGAGATGCCATCTGAACGTCAGAGGCCATTTATTCCGTTACACAGACTAAGAAACCAAAGGGCCCACTGTTAAGTTCCATGACTGAATGTGGGCTGTGGTGTAACTGCCAGGGATCAAGCTAGGAAGCCGCTTCCTAGCTTGGTGACATCGGGCAAATTTCTTTGCTTCCTGGACCTCCAGCCTGATTCTTCATCCATAAAAACAGGGACAGTGAGAGTAGCCAGCGCAGGGCAGTCCTGGGAGCAGCACCGAGACAACTGACTTCGAGACAACTGACTTCAAGGCCCGTTCAGCACAGAGAGGCTAAGCCCCAGCTGCTCTGGGATGTGCTGTGGATGTGGTTGGCAGAGCAAGGGGCAGAGCCATGTGTGCTGTGCCCGGCTGCCAGCTGGCACCGTCTCTCTAGACACTTCCATTTCTGAACCTTCTCACCAGGAGGGACACTTTCTCCCTTTTGTTTCTAAACAATGACTCAATGTTCAGCCTGAATAACACCTATTAAATACTTGCTGAAGGTGCCAAGACTAGGGACTCTCTCTTACTGGGGGTCTTGGCAGCCAGCTAATACTTGGTGTGGAGTTGGTAGTGGGTCTAGGTGACTTCTGTCATGTATTCTGTTCATCAAGCCTGGATCTAACTTTCTTCTAGAGAAGGGGCTGTTAAACTTTCTTCTTCCCCTAGAGTCAGAATATACCTCTGTTGCATGACTAAAGGGCAACCTAGCAGTTTGTTTACAGTGATCTCAAGACGTGGAGTCTTGGGTTTTCTGAAATGTTAAAGCTATAAAGTGAGTACAGGGTTTAGAAGCAGACCCAAGGGTGGGGGATGCCCTTCCACTTTGAAGTCAACTAAATTCAGTTCTTAGAATCTGATTTAAAATAATTTAAAAAAATTTTGGAACCAGATTCCAGAAAACATACAGACAGAGTTATTTGGGTAACTTGAAGCTGTTCAGAAATGTCCTGAACACCCAGAGAGTTAAGAATCCTCAACTAAATAGGATTGCCTTACCCTGCAGAAGAGAGAATGGCATCTCAGAAAGGCACAGCAACTTGTCCCAATTTAGTTATCACTTGCAAGTGTCTATCTAGGCTCCACTGAGCAAGTATGTCAGAGTCTAGAGAAGAGACAGGCAGGTGAGTGCTTAGCTACAGTGGTGAGCAGGCAGAGATGTGAGATGTGGATCAGAACCAATAATGAACTTTCCTCATTGGAAGTTCATCCAACAAATATTTAAAGAGTGAGAGATCATTCAGCAGTCAAGGGCATGACTGCTCTGTAAGGGGATAATGGTATGGTTGGAGAGATGGCTTGGAGGTTGAGAGCACTGACTGCCTTTCCAGAGGACCCGAGTTCAATTCCCAGCACCCACATGGCAACTCACAACTGTCTGTAACTCCAAGATCTATCACCCTCACACAGACATACATGCATGCAAAACACCAATGCAGATAAAGTAAATTCAAAAAAGAGGATAAAGGTTTGATTCCCATAAATCCACACAGCAGCTCAGTACTGTCTGTAACTCCAGTTCCAGGGGATCCAGTGACATCATCTGCCCTCCATAGGCACAAGCACTTGCAAGTAGTGCAGAGACATACATGCAGGCCAAGCACCCATATGTATAACAATAAAATTTAAATAAGAAAAGAGTGCCTTGTATATTCCATGCCTCATCCTGAGTACTAGAAAGCCAGAAAGATCAGGTGTGCATGGGGGAATTCCCATCGTCATAGAGTCTGCATTCTAATTGATGAAGAGACAATATTAAATAAACAGTGAAATTATATGTAAGTCAGGTGATTAGGGCTAATCAAGAAAAGAATGAAGTGCAGAAGAAGGAAGAAGGACAGGGGCTGTTTGTTGGGCTGCAGTTACAAGCAGGGTGGTGAGAACAGAATCTCCTAGGAGGCCGTTCATAAACTGCCTTTGGTGATGCTCTGGAAATGAGAATGTGTGGGAGAGGATCTGAATAGGTGGGTACATCCTTCTTTGCAGGCGGGGCTCAGTACATTCATATAGCAGTGTTGACTTATCAGTGAACTGGGCTGTAGCACCTCATAAAGTCCTTCACATCCATAGCATTGCAGCCAACTCCATTGAGATCATCCCCAGAGCTACCCAGGTGGCAAGCCACAGGGATGGAGCTCTGGGTTTGTGATCAGGCTTCAGCTTGCAGAGCACACAACAGGTGGGATCCTGTATGGAGCCTGGGGGATGGGCTCCAAGGCATCCTCTCATCCACAGGTCAGGTACAGTGCGGGCAGGTGCACTGCCGACTGCCTTACACCGCGCCCCCTGTCCACCTCAAAGCTGATATGGATGGCCCGCTCTCCAACCGGGGTGAGAAGGTAAATGGAGCCTGGTTGTGTCTGGTGGGTCAGAGCCTTCCTGCTGGGAATGGGTTTCTGGCAGTATTCCCTGTCACTGAGTGGGTACCATGCCATGCTATGGCAGATCACTCAGGCTCCCCAGTGTGTCCCCAAGGCAGTCATCAGAGCAGCTACTTGTGTGTTTCATGTGCCTGACTTCTCTGAAGTCTCCCTTGTAGCCCTGTCCTCCCCACCTATTGGAGTGAGGCCTTCTTATTTACCTTCTTTGAAATTATTCATGTTTGCGGTTCTGGGGAGGCTTTCTATCCCACACCACTTCATTTCCCATTTCATATCCCTTTCTTCTATTCATTCTGTCTGTTGGCAGTAAATAATTGTATAGGGCTGGTGGGTCCCAGGAAGAGAAGACCACATGTGACCCAGGGTCAGCTGGCAGGGCCTTCTCTGTGGAAGTGAGTCTGTGGTTGTTCCAGGCATTAATACTGAGTTTCCTAAAGGATGCATAGATGTCACAGTCTGGTGGCTTGATTTAATCTTGTCCACATGACAGGTGAAAGTAGCTGGGTCTGCTTTAGGTGTAACAAGGAGTGGGTAGGAACCTTGTCTCTTCAGTCGAAAATACCACATAGTTTGACCTCAAAGCCATGATCCCAAACAGCTCCTTATTAGATGTGGAGAAACAGAGGCTCATGCAGTATTTCAGGCACAGAGCCTGGGGGAGGGGAACGGGGTGAGAAACAAAGCCTTAAGGATGCTAGGTGGGGGCTTAGATTTACCAGGCATCAGGGTGATGGTGGTGGTCAGTGGAGCTGGGTAGGGTGATCACATGGGAAGCAGGAAGCTCCTGGCATGCCTCAGAATCCCAGAGGCAGCTTGGGAAGGTACAGATCCTCAAGCCAGGGGTAATGAGGAGCAGTGGAGGCCAGTAGGAGCAATGCCTGGCACTTGTACTTCTGATGGGCTGCCCTGAGAAGACATCTTTTCAAGGCAGGTCTTCCCTACTGCTTTCTGAAATCTGCTGTGCACAGGGCTTCCTGGGTGGTGGGCACTATGGGGCAGGGACTGGAGGATGGAGGTTCAGGTGGTCCGACAGGACAGTATGGTAGCATTGCATGAGAATCTGGTGAGCAGGCTCCGAGAAGACACCTCTGAGCTTCTCAGCCACAGTGAGAGCTGCTGACTGTTGAACTCCTCCTCAGCTTGAGGTTGGCACTTTATACACACTGGTTGACACCTCCCAGCCGCCTTTGGTGTGGACATGGCCTTTTCTTTCCCTTCCTTCCCTCCTCCCTTCCTTCCTTCATTTATTAATATTAATATTATTATTATTATTATTATTATTATTATTATTATTATTATTATTGAGACAGCGTTTCTTTGTGTAGCTTTGGATGTCCTGGCACTCTGTAGACTAGGCTGGTCTCAAACTCATAGAGAGCCACTTGCCTCCTGAGTGCTGGGATTAAAGGTGTGTGCCACTATGCCTGGCATGACCTTTTCATTGTAAACACAGAGAAACAAATTCAGAGAGGTGGCACTATTAGACCCAGGAGTACCAAATATTGGAATCTGAAGTCTGCATACTTTAGTGTTTAGTCGTTGATGCTTTTGTGTGGCACTTTATAGTTTGTTCAGTACTCTCTCTGACTTCGTCTTTCTTTCTCAGCCTCCCTGAGGGGGGTTATAATGCTCTGCTTTTCAAATCCATAGAAAGTGAGGCTCAGAGCAAGTAACAGCTCACCCAGGGTCACAGGAAACACGGCAGAGCTGACCTGGATCCTACCACTGCCGAGTTGGAGCTGGACCCGACGCTGGGACTGCAGAGGGAGAGTACATAATCTCTGCCCTCAAGGGCTGTGTGGTGTAGACAGGTTTGGGGCAGATAGAATGGGGGACAAGCGTGACCCCAGAGGATTCAGAAGGGGGAATGACAAGCTCAAGGGGAGAGGCATGGAGGAGACAGAGCTCAAAGGACCGCTCATGTCCAGTGTGGCTGAGGCCCAGGGAGGTAGGGAGAACTGGCAGAGGCCACCTCACAAAAGGCCCAGTCCCTGGAGTGAAGGGTTTGAGTCAGGGGAGCTGTGGAAGTGCGCAGGGTTGGGCTCAGAGGAAAGCCTTTCTTTCTTACATGCTGAGCTGTGGTTGTGTCTGGTTCAATCTGAAAGATGAGCCAGGCTGGGTGATGGCAGCTTTGGCTCTCGGTTCTTGGCCTCTGGGTTTGTCTGTTGAGCCAGAATATCTCTTTCTGGGCTGTGTCTCCAGCTTTGTGGCCAGAAGCTCTGTGGTACAGTGTGTGTCCTCCCTTCATGACCTACTACCCTCTTGCTGTCAGGCCTGCTTGCCAGCTCCTAAGTACCTCTGCCAGCCACATCTGCTTACACATGTGAACGAAGTCTGCTGGGTTACAGATGTAGGGTGGGACAGACAGACAACAGAATTAGCTTCCTCCCAAGTCCTTCTATGAAACCTATGAGGATACTCAGAGTCCCCTTGGTACTGGTACACTCATTGACACTAGTGCTGGCAGCCAGGCGGTGGTGGCATACAACATTTAATCCAGCACTCGGGATGCAGAGGCAGGCAGATTTCTGTGAGTCCGAGGCCAGCCTGACTAGTGCTGGCCTGGCTAGCCCTGATCGCTGAGACAGGGTGGAGCTTCCTGTCCCCATGACAGCATCATTTGGCCCCACACACCTGTTAAGTTCCTAGAACCACATTTCTTCCTGGCCGTATACCCTGATTCCCACAGCTTTAGCACTTGAAAGGGTCTTAGAAGTCGGGCAGGCTGGCCTCAATCAGTGGAAGAATGGAGCCTGCAGAGAAGGAACTGACCAGAGTTGTTTCCCAATAGGATTTCAAAGCCAGGTGTCCCAAGTTCAGGCCCCGAGAAAGCTATGTCCAGGGCTGGGTGAGGAATGGAGTGTGAACTTCTGAGGTCAGGTGACCCGAAGTCCCAGATCTGCCACCTCCTCCCCCAAAGACTTTGAAGTACAATTAGCTTTTTGCAACTTCGGTTTCTGCCTCTACTAAGTGGGGCTGCAATAGTTTCTGCCATGCTCCAGTGCTATAGAAATGAGAGACAGTGTGTGTGAAGAGCCCAACACAAGTGCCTGGTGCACAGAAGGCACTCAGCAGCTTTTGCTTATCAGCATCTTCTCAGTGGTCCTTTATATATGGGAGCTGTGGATGCCCAAAACTGCGACTAGAACTGAACCTTACACATATACACCCATGATAAGGCTCAAGTCATAATTAGACACAGTCAGAGATTAATAAAATAGCAAGTAGTAAAACAGAACAGTTGCAATATGCTGTAGTAACTGTGCCGTAAATGTTCATGGGGTCCAGAGTAAAGCACATGGTGGTCTCTGCTGCTGCTCTTGTTCTGAGAGATTTTGCCATCCCTATTTACACATGAGGAAACAGGCTGGGAGAAGGGAAGTGAGCTGCCCAAGGTCTCACAGCAAGTAATCAGAGCTGGGATTGAAGCTCAGGTCTAAGCTCTGAACCGCCGTCCGTCCGTTCTCCAGGCCGTGAGGTCCCCTGGGCTGCTGGGTGGGAAGGCACCAGCTCAGCAGCCCCTCCCCTTGCCCTTCTCTTGCAGGTCATCCTTTTTCAGTATTAACGCTGCCGGCACTTGCGCATCTGTCCATGGGCACTGCACAGCTGCCCCTCAGCCGCTGAGATTCAGCATCCAGCTGTGGCCAGGGATCCACCACCTCTGCATACACCCTCACCCGCTGCCATCCTGCCCCTCTGCCAGCGGTCCCCCAAACCCAGGCCTGGTCTTTCCCTCTCCTGCTGAGAACTAGAACCCACCAGGAGCAGCAGAGTCCCTGTTTGGGAAGGCAGGCTCCCTGAAATGTGGCATCAGCATGAAAACAAGCAGCCTGTCCTTCCTCATCAGACGGGAGTCATCCTTAACGTCCGTCAGCTAATCACAGCAGCAATGGCAAACTGAATCTCGAGTCACCAACAACCTCCTACTTTACAGGTTTTCTTCTCCCCTACATTGGCCTTTATTTACTACTTCCTTGGAACCATCTCTGAATTCTGAATAGCCAACAACCCCCAACGCTGCATACTCTGTTGCTTTTGTCTGGAAAACTCTACAGTGTTTGTGGGATGTCCCCAAAGGAAAGCTATGTTCTAATTTTATCATTTCCATCTGTCTGGTTATGTCAAGTTAACTCAGAAAAAGAAGAGACAGTGACCAACCCTGAGAGGCCCAATAGGGCAGAGATGGAGGCCTGCCCAAATGAAGAGGCAGAGGGACAGGCAGGGATGGGTGCCAAAGACCCCCCCGTTGGCTTGGAGGAGAGGGACTGGGTACACTGGACTTGGAAAGGCACTGACCATTTCATGGAGAGAAAAAAAAGCAAACTTGGGGAGGGCCCTTCCCCCACCAACTACCCAGCAGGAGTCATGGCAAGGCTGACGTCTCATCTGCATAATGGCACTGCTGAACGTTTGGGTGGGCTAGCATTAGGGACCCTTGTTGGCTACTTCTCAGTCCTGAGAGGAGGGCCTGAGCCAGTGTTCACTGAGGTTTGGGTGGGACCATTTATGAGGACCAAGGAACATAGCCCAGTGAAATGGAGCCCGAATATTAGTTCTGACTTATCCCTGAGAAAAGAGAGGTGCCCATGGCCTTAGTGAGTATGCCAAGCCCAGGATTCCAGCTGGCACCTCTGCAATTTCCCCACCAACTCTGAGCAGAGTCAGCTCCACCCACTCTTGAGAGCAGAGGCCAATTCCAAATAAAGGTCTCAGGTTACACAGGTCCCCAACTTATGTTTTCTGGGGATGCCCATTTGTCCCACACTTATCCTGTTATTATAGAACCACTTGGTGGCCTGATGCACTTCTTACTAGGGGCTGCTTGCAGCATGTTTTAGCCAAAGTCCTCCTTGCTTTGAGAAGGAGACTCCAGGACAGGGAAGGCAAGTTTCTAGTATGGATGCATTTGCTGTCCCTGCTTCACCCATGACAGACATCGCTAATCAATCACAGCACTCTATCTCATGGAGTCTGGATAAGGTTTCAGGATTCCCATGCTTAAAGTTGGCACTTAACATGAGAACCACTGTGCTTTTTGCTGTGGGGCTTGGAGGAGGGTTAGGCAAGGGTGACGCCCTGGAAGGGGACTTTCATCTTCTCCCTTCCTAAACTGTCAGCTGACTGAGGACAGAGAGAGCACCTCCCAGAATGTGTGAGTGTGGTTCAGTTCAGAACTCCTCCAGTACCCTTGCCAGGCACTGACTCAAGCAGGAGGAACCTGGCCTGATCTCTGGCTTTGGGGAACCCAGATCTTTCCTTTGATTTTTGCTCCTAATGATCAAAACCCCAATTGCAACCATGTGGGAAGTGGCCAGCTGAGCCCAGGTCACTCAATACCCACTCTGCCTTGAGCCTTCCCCCAGGGTCTAATTTTGCGTGGATCACGTGGCAGTAGCATGTTGCAGTTCATACGTCTCCACTACCCTGTTCAGAACAGCCTGGGAATGTACAGGCCGTCAAGGCTATTTATTTAAATACTCACAAAAAAGGGGGGAACACACAAACGGAAAAAATTGTAAGCACTTTTTTTTTGTAAAACCAATGTCTGTTTTGTTACATACCTTTCATGTCGTGCTTTGTAAATGTCTTATTTGTGTAATAAATAAAGTTAATGCAAGTAGAAGTGCTGGCACTCAAATCCACAATATGATGGGATTCCACTGCTTTCTTGCTCATTGGTCCCTGGCTCAGGTCCCTGGCTGCTGGATGATGCAGTCTCAGAAAACTGGTACCATAGTCCAGGCAGTGGACTGTGCTAAGGCATGGTGATGGGTCTCCTCTCTAACACTGTGTCGTTGTACGTATTGGCTTCTCTGTGGGAAGTCAGGCTGGTTGCTGACCTCTGTTCTGCTTTCTGAATAGCGACTCTGCTGTGTCCTGTGCTGCTCTGCCTCGGAGAAGCCCTCAGTCTGACCAGTGCTGCCAGCAGACATTCCTCCAGTGTGGAGGGGACTGAGGAGGCATTTGATCCAATCCAGTAAGATACACAGAGTAGATAGGAAACGCGAGGGTCTGGGAGAGGGCGGGGAACAAGGTACCCAGATATTATGGGGAAGAATCCAATGTGATGGTACTAGCTTAACATAAGCCTGACTCATGACGGCTTTGTCAGTTCTAGTTGCTGGACAGTGGTCTGGTGGCTGTCTTCAAGCAAAGCCCCAGATATAGAGAATAACGCTGCCTGTAGGGTGTGGATGCTTTCCTGCCTCCTGCAGCCCTAGGCATATTGCTTATAAACCTTGCATGAAAGCTTGTGGGGTGTGTGTGTGTGTGTGTGTGTGTGTGTGTGTGTGTGTGTGTGTGTGCGTGTGCACGCGCACAAAGGCCAGGGGTATGTCCCTTATTTTCCTCAGTAGCTTTCCACCTTATTTTCTGAGACAGGGTCTCTCACTGAACATGGAGCTCACCAATTTGGCTAGAGCAGCTGGCCAGCAAGCCCCAGGGGTCCTGCTGTCTTCATGTCCCCAGCACTGGAATGACAGGCACATACTGCTGTATCTGGCCTTGTACCTGGGTGCTGGGGACCAAGACTGAGGTACCCATGCCCATGTGACAAGCACTTTTCCAGGTGAGCCATCTCTTTAGCCCATTATTGTTGCTTTTTAATCCTCTCCCCCTAACGTTGTTTCTGCCTTTCCCTCTAGTCTATGTTTTAAATTCTATTTGTATATGACAGAGAATGTACACTTAGTTGTGTGTGTTTCTTCGACGAGTGTACCTTCTGTTTTGAAAGCCCAGTTTGAGGACCTCCGGTGGAACTCCACCCTATCAGTTTTCTAGGGATAACTAAAGCCTTAGGAGAGATGACTCCCAGGTCTACCTCATGGAGCAGCTAGCTAAGGGACCGAAATTTTCCTTGGCTGGTGGCTCTCCAGCAGGTCCACTCTGAATTCCTGGTTTGAGGTGTTTTTCCCCCTCTAGATCTCAGCAGATCTCTCCCTAGTCTGACCACTCTTCTGTCTCCACAGGGTAACGTGGGTAAACCAGCAATCATAACCTGGAGTCTGAAGGGGGATGTCCTCCATGGACTAGTCATGCAAAAATACAAGATGCTTGGGGCCCAAGAGTGGCCCTGGGACACTTTACCAGTTCTTCTTCTGAACTGAGCTAACAAATGTGATCTCTGGGGATGATTATATGCACAGAGAACAGATTTACTTTTGTATCTTTTTTATATGGGGCCTTACCATGTAACTTGGGCTGGCTCTTGAGCATGTGGTCCTTCTGCCTTACTCTTCCAAGTGCTAGGATACAGTGGCAAAAATTGATATTTAAGTTGAACATTGAACACCTGCCAGTGGTCAGCATCTTGAACTGTCTCATTTGACTCATTATGGTGCTATATTGTTTTAAGCATTCTTGTAACTGTTTTATAGACATTGGAAGCTGAGACTTAGAGAAGTGACTTGCCCAGAGTTGCATGCTGAGTGGCCATGATCTAGCTGAGATTTGAACCCTATATAGACACCAAAGCACCTTGTGGATCCAGTGCCCAGAGAGAAAGGCAGTCCCGGGGGAAGGTGCCACTGCTGAGGCCAGTGAGTCACCAGCAAGTCTCATTTCTCTGAGCCACAGATTCTCCATCTGCAGAAGGAAGTTCACAGCCCTTAGTTGCTCATTCAGTTAGAAATCTATGTCCTAAGATAAAGGTTCTTGAACGTTCCCATGAATGAGAATTAATTGGGAATGCAATTGCCAAGCCCCACTTCCACATATTCTGATTGGCAAGTCTGGGCTTGGGCCCAGTGCCACCACACTGGTACCGAAGCAGGTGAAATGGGGGTGTCTTCTGAAGCACTCACCCTTGGGGCCTTTCAGTGCTGGAAACCTTTATTCTGAAACTCAAGTTGAAGCTAGAACAAGAACCCGTGGACAGAGGGGATCCCAGTGGAGATGCTGAGGTATTCACAGCTTGGGCTTCTGTGCAGGTTTCTCTGCCCAGCCCTTGCGGCAGGTCCTGACGATCCACTCATGTTCATCATCATCTGTAGGGAGAGAAGCCAGTTACACCTCTACTCACTAGAGCCCTCCAGGCCCTGGGCCTGGGAGACCCAGGTGGGGTCTTGGGGCCTGCAGTGCCTTCCAGCACCAGCTGCTGGTCCAGGTGTTCAGCTCGAAATGGCTGGAGCAGACCTTTGTCTCGCTATCATAGCATCATAGCATCCCTTAGCAAAGTTCCTCTGCTGGGAAAATGGACCACTAAGTTATCATCAAAGAGTTTGTGGTTTGAGGATGGAGCTGATGAAGACAGCCCAAGAGCATCTGGCCACTTGGGATGGTTTGGTCCTGTCAGGCGGTGTGGTGGCCTCACACTCACTCACCTGCTGACAGCCCTACAAGCAGCAGCCCACTACATTGGGCCAGACCTTGGCAAAAGTACTAGGAGACACAGCCTCGGGGACCAGTTCTCTTTCTGTGACCATTTGGTCTCCCCGTTTGGACTCAGGTACACAGTGGGGGACACAGAGGGGACGCTGGTGACATTCTCTCAGAGGCCGAGTACAGCCCTCTCCCTGCACCCCATCTTCACGGCCCCCCACAAGCGCATTGTTCCCACCACTGTGCAGATGAACAGGGGCTCACAGGGGTCTGGCCACTTGTGCCCAGCCTCCTGGTCAGCATGTGGCAGAGCTGGGAGGATCTGAGCCCATGGCTGCTGCTTTTCCAAGCAAGTGAGCCCTAATCTTCATTCCATAAGCAGCCTTCCCCTTTCTGTATGGGACCCTCTGTGGATTTATCTTATTTTCCTTTCTTCCTCCTTTCTTCTCTAAACACACACCCAGCCCCTCCCCCACCACAACAGGGACCCTCTCTAATGGCAGGGCATGCACCCCTAAAAATGCATGCAGCTTTATAAAATATGCCCTCTTGTTTTGTGTGCAAATAAATGTGTTTTTAATTTACAAAAATGGCGTTGTGCTGTGAGCCGCATTGTGTGGGACTTCTTTCACTCTGTGGTACGTCTCACTTTTCCTGTGGCCAAACGTACAGCTAGTTCTTTGCTTGTTACCACGGCCTCTGATTCCGTAGCTGGCTGCTCTCATAGCTGACTCTGTCCTCCAGGTGTCAAACCTCCAACCTCAAAACCGGGAACACCAGGCACTGCGGGGCTCCTGCCTTTGTGTGCACAGGGGAGAATACGCCTGGGTTTTGTTCCAGGAGGAGGAGCACAAGGCTGCACAGATTTCACTCACCTGTGCCCTACCACCTTCCTGCCTGTCCTCCCTTGTCCTTCCTGTCCATCCCTGTGTCCATCACTGCCTCTCGTAGGAGGAAGGGACTCCCCATTCTCCTCAGGTGACAAATGCTGGAAACTAAGAACCGAGGGGACTCACTGGAAGCAGAAAAGCAGAAAGCTAGTAAAAGCCTCCTGCAGCCCCTGTCCAGGGACCTCCCTAGAGCCACCCTCTCGGGGAAGCACCAGGCCCACCCCGGGGAGAGGTTCGTGGACAGCTGAAAGTGCCACACAAGCCCCGCGTCTCACTGGGTCTCTGTAAGAATACAGCAGGGGTTGAGGAGATCACACTCATGTCACAGAACTGAGGCTTTAGATCCCTGGCCTCTGGAATCTCAGCCAAGTTCATCAGGAGCTGCAGCCTAACTTCTCACCCCAGGGCAAGCTTGATGCAGGGCCAAAGCTGCCTGCGGAAGAACTAGCCCTGCCCACCCTCACTATTTCTTTGCACTGTGACTCAAGAAAAACAGCTTGCTGGTGAGAGCATGCTCTGGCCTTGGACTTAAGCAGCCAGTGGGCCTCAGTTTCCCTTAGCAGGCTGCCTGAATGACCTCGCTAAGGCTGGCAACCCAAGGGTGTGTGGTGGGGTGCTATGCTGATGTGTCAGCACACAAGGAGTTAAGCACTGGTGGAGCCCACTTTCGCCACACTGTGAGCAGCCTGCTTGATAATTACAGTTCTGAAGTCTCCAGGCTATTCGAATCAGTGCAGCTGCAGCCTCTTCAGCGGTAACCCCTGAAACCAGACAAACTGGGTGTATTGTGCTGAACCAGTCCTCAGGCCCCTCCCTGATCGTTACAAATTGACAGCAATGGACTTAACAGCCTCTTCACTACTCAGTTTACTCTCTACCTGGCTGCACAGCCACCAATTTGAATCCCAGATGCCTTCCCTCGGGCAGCTGCTCCTCCATCCTCCCTCCACCTCCTCGGCGCCTCCTCTGCTCCCCTGGCCCTGCCACACCAGGGTGAGGCTGCCGAAGCACATTTCATCAATATTTAAAATGGAATTAAACCTGTAGCTTTGATTAATGCCTCCTGGAGCCCAAGAGTAGTGATTACTATTTTGCAAATTGCGATTGTTGGAATATGTTAATATGATTGTCTGAGAACATCTTCACCTTCTCGGGTAATTTTCCTCCTTTTTTGGCAAGGGGGGGAGGATGGGAGAAAAGCAAAAAAAAAAAAAAAAAAAAAAAAAAGATGGGGAAAACACCCCTGAGAACTCTTTAATCAATTGTAAATGATAAGCCTTGGCAGAGTTGGTGGTGGTGCAGAGGGAAGTGGGAGGGGTGGAGGGGAAGACTTCTGTTTTGGTACATTTAGCATCATCCTAAGTTTTTGGTTCTTGTTGGCCTGGTAATGCCACTCTGGGACACTATCCTAAGGAAGTAATCTAGTTGTCTCCATACTGTTTAGAATCAAGAGAACAGAAAATGATGTAGATTTCTAAACCAGGGAATGGTTACTTTGTTGTCTATTCATTCATTTAACAAATGATTTCTAAATGCTGGACATGCTGGCAACCTACTGGCTTGGGGAGTGGGGTGGGCACTCACTCTAAGCCATGGGGAGGGGATATTTAACAGCCAGTGAAAATGATAGTTGTGAAGTCGGTACGGCAACACAGGGGAAGTCCTTTTGATAAGGTAATAAGCCAGAATAAATGAGAAGATGCAGCAACACACCCCTCAACAACAACAACAAAAATCCATGGACTTTCATACAATAAAATGGTGACTGGAAGAAAAACTAAAGGTGATAAACTGAATTGGGGTAACTCTGAGCACTGTGGTGTTCTTTCCTGTTTTTGGTGTTCCCCAGATCTTCTCTCCTTAGTGTGTGTTGATCACAGAAGAAGTGTTTGCCTTTTTTGTCCTGCTCTGCAGTATAAAGTCTTGGTGATTTTTATGTGTTTTGTTCATTAAAATACAAAATTTCTAGGTTCCTAAAAACACTAATGTTTTTATATTTCTAAAAAGTAAAAATCTTAGCATAAAAATATTGGCAGAAATATACAAAAATCTGAACAGATGCCCTGCCCTCATGCAGAGTGACCATCTTCCAAAGGAAGGGAGAGGAAAACACACACACATACACACACACACACAAATACTAACTTGGCAGTGGAAAAACTGGCCTCAGCTAGGTTCAGGGTTCAGGACAGTGCCAAGTAAACCCCAGGGAGCATGTCCTCTTGTTCTGTTTGGATGGAAATGGCCTGTCACCTTTGTGGCCTTCCTCCCCAAACCCTCCCATCCCAGTCTAATCAGAAGAGAAACATCTTACAAAATACCTGAGCAGCGCTCCTTAAGACTGTCACCCCACACAAGGAAAATGGCACCTGTGGGTGTAGCCTAGTTGCAGAGCACTGAGATCAGGTCCTAACCAAACCAAAATAAAACCCAAACAAAAATCCTAGCCAGGCATGGTAGCACACACCTTTATTCCCAACACTTAGGCAGCAGAGGTAGGTAGAGCTCTGTGAGACTGAGTCTAGCATGGGCTCATAGTGAGTTCTGGACCAGACTCACTACATAGTGAGACTCTGTCTGAAAACAAACAAAACCCACTAAGTAAAACAGGAAAGGTGGAGTAACTGTCACACTAAGATGAGCCCACAAAGACACAACTGCATGTCATGTGTTGTTCTGTCATGTGATGTCCTGGAAGGGGTCCTACAACAGAAAGTGGACATGAGAGAAAGAAAAGGGATTCTAACAAACTTTAGACCTTAGTTAAATTAATTCACCAACATTAATATTGATACAAATGAACTAACTTGCCAAGTTTACCATACAACAGTGTCTGTGAATAAGAGGAAGTGGGCATGTGGTGTACTGAGAGAATAGCTGTAGGATCCTCACACTGATTATGTGACTGTAACTGCTCTAAAATAAACAGATCATTTCTTTCAAATGCATCAAAATCAGTGTGCTCCTTACTGGCCAGACATCATGCTCTCCAAACACAGCCAGTTACCCAAATGAAAACACTCACTGCTTTTGTCTCCCTTGGCCCCTCATACCAGATTTTTAAAATCCTTTCTTAGATAATGCCTTCCTTTCACATTAGAGACCCCCTTTGGGGGTCACATATCAGATGCCCTACATATCAGGTATTTACATTGTGATTCAAAACAGTAGCAGAATTACAGTTAGGAAGTAGCAATGAAAATAACTTGATGGTTGGGGTCACCACAGCATGAGGAACTGTATTAGAGGGTTGCAGCGTTAGGAAGGTGGAGAACCACTGGCCTGGAGCTAAGCTCTTGGTGCAGGCACCACCGCACCAGCATACATAGGTACCCAGTAATGCTCTGCCAGGTGAATCTGAATAAGCCTTTTTCATCCTGATTTCCCTCAGGAGTCTGAAGCAAGAGAATAAGGGAGTTTATGGCTAGCCTGGGCTACATAGACCTTTTAAGACACCAGGCTAGGATACAGCTGAGTGGTAGAGCACTTGCCTGATATGCACAAGGAGAACTTCAGTTCTGTCTTCAGCAGAAAAAAAAGAAACAAGAAAGGCCTAAACAAGGTAATACCAACTGTGGTATACTTTAAACATTGACGTTAGATTATTCCTTTTAACACAAACAAGTGTTGATACAAGGGTGATGCTCTGAGAGTTCTTTCAGAAGAAGTCCAAAGGCTGTGGGTTGGGGAAGGGCCTATGGATTTTCTTGTCTGGACACAAAGGGCCACATAATGTGTATAGGCTGGGCTCTCGTGCCTACCTCCACTCCACCCTC